ATATATAAAATAGTAATAGTTTTAAGAAAAATACATGTTTATATACTTTATATAGGATTTATGTATAAAAAGCTATTTTTGAAAAATAAGTTACTTGAATAAAATTTACTGTATAATCTGTCAACGAACTAACAATAATTTTGGGTAATAGAGAATACTTTTATAAACTTTTTTGCTTCAACAATCAAAGTATCATTTTTTGCGAGCTGTAAAATGAAATCCGTTCGCGATGCTTGGCAAGCGGATTACGATCTCGCGAAATTACCGAGGCAAAGAACGAATAACGGTCGCAGCGCCCGTGGTCTATCATTACTTAATCAGTGATCTGCTCTAGTTTACCAACATTGCGACTGGCTTAACGTCGGCAAATCGAACACAGTAGTATGAACAAGAATTCTCAATCGCAGACGGATAATTTCATGCACCGAGTAGCGCGGTAGCCAAGTAACTCGAGAGTCCCGGCGGGTCTAAACGAATTGTTCATCGAGCGTTGTAAATCAAGGAGCATACGATGAATGGTTATTATCCGATCGTTGAGAAGAGTAGAAACTAACGGCCGTGACGTAACGCCGAGAAACGATCGAGACGAGCGAAATGTTAATTGCGCGACAACATCCCGCATCGAGCCTGTCGGGTTCACCCGTCACGATACTTATTGTATATCGTAGAAACTTTGTAGGAGCCTCTCTCACGATCAAAAGAATTAATCACGATCGTTCAGGGAGTCGATTACTTTCTGAAAATTGATTTTCCATAATCGAAATTGACATCTCTTACAGGGATCTAGTAAAATAATATCTAAGTTAATAAAATAAGGATTGAAAAAAAATGTTAAATCGCTTTGCCTCATTACGCAACACTCAACTTGGAAAGAAGTCGAGTGTTGAACTTGATGAAATTTATTATATATATATATATATACATATATAAAATATGTGTTTTTATATATTAATTTATATAATTATTATTATTTATTTAATTATTATAATTATTATAATTATTATAATTATTATATTTAATTTATTATTATAAAATATGTAAAATTTTAATAAGAGTGTATTTTGAAATGAACTTTTATTATTATATCTATATTCTTGATTGTTCATTATTTACGCAAGAGTCAGAAATGATATGCACATGCATACATATGGGACTAGAGGGCGGCGATTATGTAACGTGAAAGTTGCCAATGGAATTCACTCTTACTTCGGCTTCGCCCTGACCTCCGTTGTAATGAGAACGATGTGAATAATTTGATTCGGCACGTATTTGGCAATGGGCGCACAATCGCTTTAACTGTCGAGCATTCCACTTCTTTCTTTTCGAAAAGATTAGCATACGAATACGATTATCACACCCAGTATGTAGTATTATGTAATATTCCGATTAGACACATCCGGTGTGACACTGTGTTGAAAAGATTGATTGATTGATAATATTGCCGAATATAATTATACATCATTTTTACAAGCCAATTTTGAGTCGAGCAAGATATAAAAGCGATGAATATTTAATCAAAGCAACACGCAAAACACGTTTATCGCATATCGCATATAATTAATTATCTTGCCAAATAGTGCCGAGTATCGATGTCGATGTCTTATTTATAGCTAATAATTTTTTAATGTTTTGATCATCGACGTTGTATATGGGCGCGAATATGATTGGTTTATTCCTATCCTTACTACTATTCTTGAGATTCTTTTCTCTGGCTCGCGGAAATTGGTTACCGCGTAAGTTAACGCTATGAGATATCGATTTACGAGAAGAACTTTTTAATATTGATCCACCGCCGATATTATCTTAGACCGCAAAGGATTAAGCTTTGATCAAGATTATATCTAGCAAAGTCTCGATCGTCGATTCAACAGTCAGACTTGTATATCCCGATGCCGCGACGTGTTTGAGTAACGGTTCGTACCGAACCATGAAGTTTCTGAGGCTGGCCATTTGTGTACGGTTTATCCCGCAAATAATAATTCCGTAACCACTTTGAAGTTTTTCGTGTTCTTTTCATTTGAGTGACGTGAACGCACACGATTTATATTCCTTTCCTTTTATATACATACACGTTACAATTACATCAAATATTTTAATTAAATTCAAAAACGTTATGTGTAAAACATTTGCAATATTCACTGATAGTTGAAGTGATCGGATTAAAACCAAATGAAAGGGAAAAAAGTAATGACAGCGTTATAATCACATCAAATATTTACATTAAATGCAAAAACGATGTATTGAATGTTTACAATATTCACTGACAGTGAAGTGATCGGATTAGAACAAAATGAAAGGGAAAACGAGCAAGGAAAAAGGAGGATCAATTTATTCAGAATAAAACAGACAAGAAAATGGACATTACGAGAACATTGACAGTGATATCGATAAAACTACGATTTGTCCCGGTTTATAATCAAATCGAATGCAAATTACTACCGGTTTCTGAACCTGACATCGAGTAGGAGGCGTTTCAGGGAGGCGGGATGTATAACGAGCGAAATCGAGGGCGAGATTGATCTCAGCCAAGGCGAGCACGAGCTTACCAGGTGAATGAATTGACTTGATAAACGTTATAATGGTTACGTTCGTAATCGATTTCCTCGTAGGCGTAGGCGTTGCACGAAAAAAATTTCCTCGATCGATTTGTATCGCGCCTTACGGAAGTCGTACTGAAAGCACGCAAAGTGTTCTTTCCTGCTTAGTGTTTTCTCGTCTCTATTACACGGTGAAATCGCGAATACGCATGGGGATTATAAATCGCGCGTAATGACAAGTGTATCGTGATGATTGCGTAAACGATCTGACAGTCATCGGCTATGGCTATCGATCGAAGAGTGATTTTATAACAATCTACATGATAGTATCATAAGCACCGATAGAGAAATGTCCGTGTCCATTAAACGTTGTCCGATAGCTTCGTCGTTGTGACACGAGATACTTTCTCTTTATTCAGAACTGGTCGGTTAATTGGGACTTATCTTACTCTGTACTTCCTTCACTGGTAGCGTTTATATCCTTATAATATTTTGTTTGCATCTCGTATCTTTGCAATTAGTGGAACACGCGAAAGCTTTACCGCACGCATAATGATATGCGCGAATGTATTAATTGCATTTAATGTCCTCCAAATTTATCCCGAGTCATCGGTGGAAGATGCGGATTAATAAAAAAAAAAAAAGAGGGTAGAGATCTCTTTTAATTAAGCGTAGTTGAATGAATTTATCGCGCGCCGTTAACTCCGCGGCGCGCGTTTATCTCCGCCTTCCGAAAGAAGACATTGCGATTTAATCTGGCTGTATCGTGCAACTGCGAAGGCCGATTAACGATAAATCCAAAATTGACCGTAAACGTCCGGACAGCCGATAGCCGATAAAATATCCGCAACATCCGTTCGCGGGAAGGACGAAACGATCATTGGGATTCATGCAACAAACTCATTGTGTAAATCAATTCGAAATGGCGGAAACGCGGTGTATAAATCGCTTGCGAAACGGTTCGGCCATTTATATGTTCGTATTGTACTATCGCGAAACGAGCATACATTTATATTTGACTATAAATTTTGTCGACTGATCACCCCGATTTAATCTAAACTTGTGTGACGCTGTGGACTGTCGTCGAGGACTTTCATAGGTTTGATCCTTTTGAATTTGCCGATTGACACGAATAACTGAAAGAAGCTTCAATTACAGTTTAAACTCGAATAACATTGTATATTTATTGATGACGAGTATTTCTTCAATCGCGCGTAAAAACATTATATAAAACGAGATCTAAATCGCACCATATATAAGGATCAAAGAAAACGAATTAAGTACCTAGCTTTAGGCGCATTGCGGTTGCAAATTCAACGAAAATCATGGTCGGGCGGTGTAAAGGCATAACTCGATCGGCGTTATACGCTGACTTAAATTGTCTTTATGAAACTGGATCTTAAGACCTCGTTAGGCCGAGCTATAAACGTCAACGTTCGTTTCGAGACACGGAGGGCCGCCGCGCGCTCGCGCTCGTGTTCGTATTAACAAAGTGGGTCAAATTGACATTGTTGATTTCGTAAAAGGATTATTAGTTGGCCGCCGTGGTGATTTTAATGGCGCGCTCGAACGTAGGTTTATGAAACCAGTTGGCGCGCCGGCCGGTTTTTCTCTGCGCTATGCGAAAGCGCGCGCCTCAAAGTGGAACGAGTTTCCACGCGGCGTGCGCGTGCAGGAACGGTAACCTTTGTTACGTTTCGCGAGCGGAATGAAGCGTTAACGAGAAGCGTCGTTAACGAACGAGTCGGATAAAAACAGATCGCGGAACAACATCGCGCACGATCGGCAACACGTGCCGCGTCACTTCGTGTCCTTCCACGAGAGAACGAAGTCTCGCGAATTCCGCGTCGATGAAATAATCACAGACTTCCGGACAAAAGTATATTTTATCTTTATGTATGAAAGAAATATTATTAAAAGATCGTAAAAGAAATCTTGCTTTTTTTCTTAATATTTTTAACACTAAATTTTTTTATATATATGTGAAATCAATTTACGATTGTGGGGATTCTAGTTTAATAGGGGGTTCTATTTGTTATGCTTATTTTCTCTGATTATATCTTACGTGTAATCTTTTTTTGTGCTTCAGGCTGGTTCTCGGTGGTCTCCAACAATAGTGGTACCGGAAATGCTAGAGTGTACAGAAGAGTCGGCGCTTTGGTGCGCGCAGGGGTACCGGCCTTTCTACTTGCGAAACCATTGAGAGCTTACACGTTGACGCATTCCAAAATGGGTGAGTTACTTTGTCAATACTATTTTATTATAACTATTACAATGCATGAATTTTAGTGAAAAATTTCACATCGTTTCGAGAACGTGAAACGTTATTTTTTTGACAATAATTTAGAATTATTATGATTGTTTATATACATAATTCTTTTCCTATCGGACGTATTCCGGTGAATTAAGACAGAGACTCACGTATCTCGCGTCACATCTGGCACCCGTTGAGTTTATTATCCTGGCCAACCCAGATCCGCATTTTCCACGGGCCGACTGTCGCGGCTGCGGTTATCACCCGCTGCGATCTGCCAGTGAAAATGCGGCCCGCTACGAGCTACAAACTGTGATTCGCGTAACCAGCTAGTTAACAGCGTAAATTCTTTCCCGAGACGAGAAATTTCCGTCGTAATTCTTTGGGAAAGTAGTATTCGCAGAAATGGTGATTGTGCAGAAATGGTCGAACGGCAAGGCTCAATTCAACGTCTGTCATTTGCTTAATCGCGACAAAAGGCGACGGTCTCGTCGTCTTTCCGCCGATGTCATTGTTCGGGCCTTAAAAACCCAAAAAGTCCTCACAATTTCACGGAGCACGAACGCGATACGCACATCCTGACGCTTGACGAGCGATCGCCTCGCGGCTCAGATTATTTTTTCTCTTCTTCTTGAGCCGCAGCGACTGGCCGTGACACGAATGTCAATGTGTCCGTAATGCGTGCGGCTCTCACGCGGCGTGCGTTCGTGCGTTTAAACGTACGTAAGGCGAGGCTTACGCGCGAGAAGCGCGTAACGTAATAGGCACGCGGCCCGGTGAAAGCCGTCCTCACGGACGCACGTGCATAAGCGGCTGCGAACGCGTATATACGGACACAGCTTGCGGGCGCGAACATTATGCCATTACACACGCCGTCGTAACGATTATGGTCATGGACGGAAAAGGGAGATTCTTGCGCGAACGCGCATCCTTCTCGACTCCTCCTTTCGACGAGATCCCGAATAGGTCCCGTAAGTCCGCCGCGGCGGCGACGTCGACTCGCGTCGGCGTCCGTTATCCGGCGCGTTTATTGTCGTTAATTGCCACCCCGCCTTTCGATCATACCTACGCGCAACGGTACACGATCGATGCATGCGATTCATATGGAAATCTGCCGGTATGTTCCTCGAATGTCAAGATGGTATCAAGCGGTCGGCTTAGCCACGCGTGTTATTACGTTAGAAACGCGTGGAGACTTTTCTGACGAGATATGCTCTTATAAAACTATGTGCACAAGGAGGAAAGGGATTTAATAATGAAATTAAGTCTTTTGAAAAATATGTCTCTGTTATGGTATGAAAATTTTAGAAGGTATCAAAAAATCATGTTGAATAATTTGTCTTATCAGTAATTCAAAATAAAAAGTTAAGTTATTGCACCTATAATATCCTTCTAATTTAATTTTTTCATGCGTTTGTTATATAACTTTAATCTATTAGTAATTAAAACCTAACAAAATTACGTTTTAAAAAAGATAAAAATATAATGCCAAGTTCACGCGCCCCTTTTTTTATTTATGTAAAAGAAAGAATTTTATACAAAAATTTCCATCTACAAAAATCTTTTTAGTAATAAATTTTATATTGGTACAAAAGATGTAATATCAAGAACTGGCGTCAACTTCTAATTTAATAAAATAAAAAAACTTTACAGTGAAATACATTTTATTTTATAGTTCATTTTTATTTGAAAAGTCGTTTCATTATTTTTATAAAAACATGGTATCAAAAAAATTTCCTTGATTAGTTGGCAAGGACTCATCGATTATGATTTGAAAGCATTGGCATCGTGCCAAAATTTAAAACATTTGAATTTGACGGGCATTCGATTTCTCACAGTCGATACATGCAATACATCTTTTACGTATTGTCCTAAGTTAGAATTGATCGATATCTCACACCAGCAGAGATTAATTAAGCCGTTCGGATTCGGCATAAAATGATCTCTGTATAGACATATCAAAAAATGAGCGCTGCAAGAGCTGTCATCACAGAGGCGTTTATTAGCTCGCCTCTTGCGACAAAAAAGGAAAGTCACGGTTGATCAGGACGTTTCTTAAAATTTACCAATTTGAACTTTGCATCGCGATATCTCAGTTTGTAGAAAAAAAAACAACTTTTCTTATATAATTTGATACTCAGCTATCGATTAAGCGTAGTTAGAGCTTAATCGATCGTCACTGAGTTATGAAAATGTAGATCGAGTTCATCCCGGGGGTTCGTGTAAAGAGAACCACGGACGTCTCCGTTCGTCGCCGTTCTACGCGAATTTCGCCGCGTGTGAACTTAATGTCGAGACACCACCTATGTCTCTTGATAAATTTTACGAATTATTCTGGGCATTTTCACTGATATAACGTGTTACATAATATATATCTGATAGTTTATATTAATATAAAGATGAGTTAATATTAACAAGAATACAACATTCTTAATAATCAAATATACTGATTTACGCTATTATAATTTTCAATCCGATTAAGTTTAATCGATTCTCCTGATTTCTCCGCTTTCTTTTATCTTTTATCTTTTCTAAGAAAAGATAACGAGTCGATTAAATGTCAATTAAATTTCTCTGATATTTAAGCAGAAATAGTAGCACATGTCAAGTATTCGGGTCAATTTTTGTCGTAGAGAATGGAAATTTGCGAGCACACTACACGAAGACGACGGTGCGCGCTGGTGAGGTCCTGCGGCTGACAGCCGTCTTTCAGGACACTCGTCGGGCGCCAGTCGCTAACGGCGCATCCGGAATGATTCCGGAAGGCAAGTGCTCGAGATCCTCGGAGCGAGATCAATATGCACAATGCTTGGATTCTCACGGACACGAGCTATTCGCACCGCTCTCGGCCAGAGGCGAGTTTTATGCGACCTGTCAGAGTGGCAGCCTCGACACCGGCAGCGACGCCGTGCTCTACAGGGTTCACCAGCTCGCCAGGAGGGATCTACCCCTGAGGGTAAATCTCATCGCGCCTTAAGATTAATTAATCGAAGCGAAACGAACCGCGTATATGATCCGCAGGTGCGTTTAGTCGCTGGACCTTTGCCCATACCGTTGCCGCGGGATTACAGTGGTCTGATGCAGTTGGAGAACGCAACCAGGGGACCCATAGTTCTCGGCTGCGCGGTGCCGCTGATGCCCGAAAGACCTTTACCCAATACTACGGTGCCGGAACTCCTGGAGCTCGTCGCGACCGGTCCAACCGCGCCCCGGGTGAAAAGAGCACGACTGGGATGCCCTTCCGAGGCGAGGTTACTCGCCTCGCCAAAAATGCAACGGTTACTTTCGGCTTGCAGGTAAGAATTTCACTTGCGTGGAAAGATTAATTATTTAAATCGTGCGATATTTTACATTATAACACAGATTTTAGAGCTAAACTCATTAAAGAAGATTATTATAATTTTAAACAAGAGTCAATTTAATCAATATTATATAAAATTTAAGAATTTAAAATTAATTTGTGAAGATATAATAATCTTATAAGAAGAAAAGATTTTTTCTTAATACCGCTAAGGTTTATATTTTATGAAAAATTAACTCAATTAGCCTCGCTTCGTTTTTAATATTTGCATTATTAATGTAATATTTAATGTGAAAATATTTTACTTATTTGACTCTTAATGCAATTGAAAAATTTCTTTTTAATTGTCTTTGAAATAATTTATATGCATGAGAAAATTGATACCGCTTTATAGAAGAGCCTTAGACCAGCGGGCGACTGAGCCTCGGGTCGCCCCGCCGAAACCGACGTCTAATAATAGTCAACTGAAAGAGTTGCACTTGAAGGAGATCAAGGCAAAGCCCGAGGCGAAACCGATATTGCAAAGTTTGAAAGAGGGCTTGGAGCATATCAAGAAGACAACGATCCGCGATCGGAGCAACAGCCGCAACGTCGGCAATAACCACAGTTTCCTCGACAGGATCTCGAGGATAGCGCAAGGTGGTAAAAATAGAAATCCGGCGAAGAAATCGGCGTCTTTCACGTTCGCCGTACGACCGGAGATTGGTATGCGATTACCAGAGAGATACGCTAGTCTGGAATCAGAAACGAATCTGATACAGGCATCGCAGATGTCTAGGCAACAGGTGCAGCGTTCAATCTCGACGAGCGTCCTCGAGGTTCAGAGCAGTAGTCCGGACATGGATCCGCCGTACTCCAAGGTGAGAGACAGCCTGACGCCATTGCCCCCTACACCGCCGCCGAAACCGGAAGAGATCTATGCCGAGATCTGCGAGCTGGGCGGCGGCAATGGTCCATTGCGGGATACATCGCGGGAGGAAAAACCGCCGCCGGTGGGAGGGAACGGTACCAGAGAACGAGATCGGGGTTACGTGAAACTTGCACTATCCCATTCTGAGGTGTCCGACGTGTCAGCGAGCACCGGCGATGACGAGGAGGGCATTTATAATACTGTGTGCTGAGCGCGCTTTCTTCCGTCAGGATAGACTCTATGTCCGTGGGGAATCGTTTGCGACTCATAGTAACTGACTCCAAGGGTCGACCGGAACAAATGATGTGACGTGTATGGAGTCGAAAGGTCGCGGGAACTCTTCGACGCAGCTGCGGATATCGATAAACGTCTACAGGCGCGAGTAGTATTGGCGAACACTCGTCTCGAAAGGATCGTTTCGAGATCTTTGAATTAAAACGATCGAGCCAGTATTCTCATAAATAATGTATATTTTTTTTAAGCGAGAGATGCGGAAATATAAACATCAGTAAGTTTTTTACTGATTGAAAACCTACCATATATTTTTACGCGTGAGATTGAAAATTTGGAATTAGAGAGAATAGTTCTCCTGCGTAGCCGCCGACTTTCGATCATTCCGCCATTAAAAGGAGAGGTGTACTGTTATAAGTTCGAGAGAATCGTACGTTTTTCGATTTGGAAAGGAAGCGCGAGGAGATGAAAGCAGCGTATCGATCACGTTTGCGAACGAGTTGACGAGGCTCGGGATTTACGACTTGGACCACCGTCAAGGAAATTGCTCCGTCGACGATTTCTTTTGCCGCGGGAGGACGCGAACGTCCACTACGGGGTATTGCGTGGAATGATTTACAAGGCTGTTGACCGAGGGAAATGATCCCGTAATTACGGACCCCGGTGCATGCTGCTGCAGCGGATGTTGCGGGGCATGCCGACCGGGGATAGCACGCAGCTTCGCTTCTTCGTGGCTTCCGTCATTAGAGAATCTGTCGTCTCGCGAGAGGCGTGTTAATAGTAGCGGGCTCTTACCGCGATTACCTCGGTCATGACTGCTGAGTGACATCAATGCCGGAAAAACGCGGCCGTTCCATTAACTCCGCTCAGAAAATAATCCGTGATCGATGAGATTTAATATTGGAAATTGTGTACGATCCGTTTACAAGATAATATATGATATCAACGTTTAATTGAATTAGATTAGATTAGATTAGATTAGATTAGATTAGAATTAAATTTTCTAGATTCAATAAAATTTAAACACATCGTCAAACTTGAAAGCTGCATCGATAAATCTAATAATTTTTGACGATATTAATTTTTTTTTAAAAGACTTGTTTTTTTATTTAAAATTCTTTTTAAAACAAGAACGAACGAATTTACGACTAAATTGAACTAGCTTCTTTAATTCTTAGGTAAAAAAATGGAATATATATATATATTTTTACGTACATTTAAATTCGTGATGCGGTGATTATATTTATTAAAATAAGTTTGATCACATTTATTCGCAGTCTTTATTTGATCTGAATTCGGTTTAATAATGCAAGCACAGGATGAACAAATGAAATATTTTGACCAATGTTAGATTCATACATGGGATCGTACGGAGGTAATGTGAAGCAGGTCATTGGACGCGTTGATTTAAACTTTCCGAACACGTTCAAAGCCGGGATAGAGGATCGCGAGGCGCGGAATCAACGCGACACGGAGAAATCGACGGTAGAATGTAAACGAGCCGGTCGGCGGCTTCTAGGAAGAGAAAATTATCGGCGTCCTTCGAAGGTCTAGGTCATCATTGGGATCGTTCGAGGCTCGAACGCGAAGGCGGTAGCAACCTGGTCGAGCCGGGCCGAGCCGAGCCGAGCCGAGCCGTGCTTGCTCGGCCGGCCAGGGCGATACTTTGTGACGATTAATCCATTAGCTCGTCATGCTTCGCGGCATTTGGCTTTCTTTTCGTGTACGATGACCCCGAAGTCGCGCGCTCTCGCGCCCGATTGCGTGACGTTGCGCGATTGGCTGTTAAACGCGTGATTACAAACTTCGCCAGTACATAGCAGATACTGCGTTTGAAACGCTTCGAGGAAACCAGAAGACCTCCTTCTCTTTTGCTCTCTCGCTTGTTTTCTCCCCTCTCTCTCTCTCTCTCTCTCTCTCTCTCTCTCTCTCTCTCTCTCGAGTTCTCTCGCATGACGGAGCGCTTGGAGCTGTCAGTCGGCCGTTGCATCGAGCGATGATGAAGAAAGGGCGCAAAAATCGAGAGAACGACGGACGAAGATGCGCCTAATGGAAAATACCCGCGGGAGAACCGCGAGGGAACCAGGATTTGTTTGTTGAGGATTCTTGGAGGATCCTAACGGCTGTAATCTTGTCTAATTCGACTCTTCAGCGCCTGCTCTGTGCGAGCGCATGCTCGCGCGCGATAACGATGTTATATTTTCTAGATTTTGTGTAAGTTTGAATGAAGTCGTTACGGAGGGTGAAAATAAAGACAAAGAGTTTCTATAACAAAATACAACGTTGTAAAAGTGTATCTTCTGTTGGCTTTCCCATTGGTAGGAATCAAAACAAGATCATTGAGTAGGTAAGTGATTTTTCAGTATAGCAATTAGCAAATTTCTTGAAAGAACAACACAGTATTAACGCAATATTTTATAAGAATTTAATGGCAATATAAATTCAAGAAAATACAAATATAAATTTAAGATTATGTAAGAAATATTCATTCTACATATTGCAACGTTATTCATCAATTACGGATTTGTAAAATAAATTACATATCGGAATACTGTTTTCGTCATTTTATAAGGAAAAAATATAATTTTTTTTGTTATGCTACTTCATTACTCTTCAGTATTTTCATCTAACAAGTGTATATGGAAGTATCTATTTTCTCACTAGCCGGTGCACGTTCGCGATTACTCACTTCGACCGGAGCTGAAGCACAATCGCGAGCATGGAAAATTCGCGCCTAAACACACCGCGACCGTTTCTGACTTTAAGAATAATAACAGCAAAGCGCTCGCGCCGGCTATTGGTCATTAATGTTTTACGAGCATGCAGTACGCACAGCTGCGTCTATTCAATTATAGCGGAGAGTGAGGTCCAGACGCAGCGGCCCCCCGGCATGCCTCTCCCTCGTCTTTGCCCGAGCTCATCTCCCGCGCGTCCACCTCCGCCGTCTTCTCTTGTCCTTCTTTATTTCTCTCTCGAGCAACGTGCATTTACGTCCATTAATATTAACGGCTCGAAACAACGATAATAACGGAGGAGCCACGGGGTAGCGGAGAGATGTTCACTTCGATGGTCAACGTCGTGTGCAACGCGTCAGCCCTCTCGCATGGCTCACGTTGACCGTTGCATGCATCATTCCCGCCACGGAGATCGACAATGCTCGGAAAATGATTTTTATCGTCCAGGTAAGTTCATCGGCAGAAGAGATTTTGCGCTCATCAGAACGAGGAACATTTCGTGAAATTTGAAAGTTCGATTTCGCTTTGAAAAGTACTTTTGTTTTCACAATCACAAACATTAGTTCTTTGTACGAACGTGGAATGATTAGGGCTAAATATGATGCTTCGAATTTTCTTGTTGAGGTAATAATTAGCGAGGTAACTCGAAGAAGAAAACGCATAAACGATAAACCTGTTATTGATTGTCGTAGGAAATTAGTACTCTGTGCAAAAACGTGGTATACAATGTAAGGCTCGAGAGATGTAGGTTAATGCGTTCTAAGTAGATTAAAAAGCGCGATAGCGCAAGAGACTGATCGTCTCTCGTGTGAAACGACCGGTCTCCTGACAGACGCTGTTATTACCGTAATTATTAGTATCGCGCCGATATCCTGAGCAAATACCACGAGGACTCGCGCGTCGATCGATCGGAACAACGTAGGGCGCTATCGAGATCCAACAATCTCGGGTCCACGAGTGCATATTTCAAGATCGGCATGCGTGAACGGTTTCAGGGACGTCGGGTTGCTTTTGCGGTCGTGTATAACTTGGCTTTACAACGCTAATGCGACAGACACGGAGCATGAGGTATCGTATTTCGCGGACCCGGGCCCGCCGATCGAGGAGGCATGTTTTAATATGCAAATTAAAATGCAAATATAATGCGACCCCTCGTTGTCTCTTACTCCTGTCTCTTCTCTCTCTCTCTCT